CTCTTGTGCCACCATCCGGATGACATTTTTGGTTTTCAGTGAAATGTCTCTTCAACGATTCCCCCTCAGAATGAACTCTGATCACCATTATCAGGTCAAAATTGCCCAATACTTCAGTTTATGACTAAATGGCTACAGCACATACGTCTCAGCTGTACTTTGTGTAATAAAATGATAGCATGCTAACATACCTAACGATGATGGTGAAGGATTGGCGAGCCGCCATGCTCATCAGGTGACATACAGAAAGCTTTTTTTTAAAAAGCTTTATTTTTTTAGTCGCAGTTTGGTTGTGTTTTGGCAACAAGACTATTTGGTTAAGTTCAGGAGAATGTCATGGGTTGGGTTAAAATAGACCCTTTAACAACGTTAACCACAAATTAGAGCGTGGGCTCCTGGCCAATCCCAGTGCTTGAATGCTACACAGGGTGTGTCTTTGGGATCCATAAGAACGCGGTCACTGAGCCTTTAGCATGGCTGTGGACTTGTGTTATAGGTTAATGTTCCGCGTCTGTTTCTTTTAAGGTCTCTTTTCTCTCTCGTAAGCACTTTGTAACTACTGTTTTTAAAAGTTCTATATAAAGCTAATTACTCACCGGAATATTTAAACGTGTATTTCAGAATATATATTCCAAAGGAGACGTTTCATAGTAGACTGAACATCAAATAGTGTCCTAAATGTAACGTCCATACGGTCCGTGAAATGCTGGTCTGAGGTCAATGAAGTGAAGTGGACACATTCTTCAGTTGGGCCCCAAACATGGACAACCACACTGCAGCGGAGTGTGCCTCTTCATCCAGACTATGATGATACTTTTTATAGGATGATATGGAAAAAGTGCTTTTCAGTTTTTCCCTCACTGTGAGTCTACTCACCACAGCGCCCTCTATTTATGACCGCATACATCTCTTACTTTAGACATTAGAAATAAAGTGTGTAGGCTGTCTTTATGATTTGAAACCTTCACCCTACAGTTACCCTCCTCTATAGTACTACAAGAATACATTTGCCCAGACTAGGCTAAACAGTTCCATCTACTGGTCAACCAAAGTCATTACATCTTTAAAAAAGTGACCCCATAACCCAGAATAACATTAATTTTGAAAATGAATATTCATTAATTCTAAAGTGATTAGTAACCAGTAGGCTAAGTGAAGTTCATTATTCATTCTAATTCAAAAATTGATTTTTTTCGAAGAAACAAAGAACCACAGAGTGGAGTCAAAAATGATCTTTGAGCTTCCACTTTTAAGCTATGATGACATTCTATACCTGAGAAATGTGTCTGTGATATTTCAGCGATATGGAGGTGAATGGTTTGTTTGTGGTAGAGCATAAATTATTAATAATAATGTATAATCTAATCTAATCTAAAATAAAATAATATAATATGATATAATATAATATAATATAATATAATATAATATAATATAATATAATACAGTGTTTATTTGTGTTTTGCAGGGTGTGATTCCGTGTTCAACCCGTCCATGTTTCCGAATCCTCCCACCTGTTCGCAGACCACCAGGTGAGTGAAACTGAAACTGTGAACTGAACTTTAAACAGATTCAGTTTGCAGCACAGTGAACACAACAGTGCGCCATCTTTGTTTGTAGGGGGTGATATTGTTTTGGGAAATGGCCAAGAGGGTTTTCATCATGACACAAACACAAACAAACTTTCAGTACAGTCAGGTTGTATTCATTCATTCAGCATCATATCCACAGCCTGGAATTCTTTTAAAAGGTTGGGAATTATTCCAGGAAAAGGAAAATCTGCAACATTTCCATTTCCATTTACTAAGGTGTGTTGGAATGTGGTTTGACTTTAGTCTAGGTAAACACTGATTGTATTAAATGTACCAATGCTGTCACAATTAGCTCATCATATCTGATCATTAAGTTCTAGATTGATGTGCAAGTCTCATTGTATTCCTACACACTGATAAAGCAACAGGAACACAGTTTGAATGATGTAACTGGGCAGAAATGTTTAGTATAGAGGATAAACTGTGCAGTGTAAGTACTGACCCAGGCTTTCTTTGAGCACCAAGTGTCTAACTGACCATTTAAAGTTACCTGTAAAATCTAAAAGAGGGAGCTTTTATTGTGTTCATTCAGTGTATTATAAACTACATTCAAAAGAAATCAAACCTGCTGGCATCATGTGGTGCACTGCAGAATCTAATGTGATTAAACTGCGTTACCTCTGTAGGCCTTTTTGAGATGAAGTGAGCAGCACGCACAGAGAACAATTACATACAACAGTAAAGTTAATAGATAAAAAGTAAATAGAGATACACGGTTTACGCTCACAGTCTCTCACTGAATGCATTGTCTGTTTTCTGAAGGCTTAACCTCAGACATTTGCAAATTGTATTTAACTTGTTTACAGCAGCCTGCAGTCTTTTTCTTGTTTATAAGGGTCATATATCTATATTTCTGCCCTCTGAAGTTGTTTATAATGCAGCCATACAAACAGAGCAGTACACAGGGTACCTTAAAGCAACAAAACAAACTGTATTAGTTCAGTGCAGTTTCATATAATGAAGATTATATCACATAAAGACCTTTATTATGACCAATGGAGAGAAAGTGGGGGCTCCTTGCTGTGCAGGTATTAGAAGCTGTTTCACTACTTGATGCACACGTTATCTGCTGTCTCTCTGTCCTGCAACAGTGGCTCAGGCGCTGTCACTGTGAACCTGAACCAGCGCAGCCCAGCTCCTCAGGGACCCAGTCACCATCCCATGTGGCCACAGCTACAGTTTGAGCTGCCCGACAGACCACAGGGACCGCCAGCGAGTCTGCAGCTGTGACAGTGCAGAGCCAGCTTCAGTATGGGTGCTGCGAGCCCCTCTGCTCCTCCTTTTGACCCTGCCTTTAATGTGTCCATGGTCCACCCTGAGAGGACTAATGGAGAGGTGAGGACACTTCTAGTAACCTTGATTCCTAAAGGTTTATTAAGGTAACGTTTTTGTTGACACATGGTTTTATTCTGTGTCTTGTTGCTGTTTCTGAGGGTTCTGTGGGAAACATGGAGACATCTTGCAGAGCAAATCAAAGAGAGGCAGAAACAAAGTGTGCAGATATGGAGTTGTTTTATGAGCTTGTTTTATTCCCTAAAATATTTATGTATTGCCACCATAGGGTTGTGTCATCATGGTCTTTGTGTCAGTGTGTGTGTGCTGACACACCCTCAAGAACACAGTAACAGAAAAACAACAAAAAGGTCCTCCTTTACTGAAATGGTTCCATCACATTGTGGACCAGCACACTGCATATTAATGCCACTAGAGCTGAAATCATAAGTAGATTAATCAGTTAGTCAATTGAAAGTAAATTAACTGGCAACAAACTTCAATATAATTTAATTCCTTTCATAATCATACTTACTACTGTACATAGAGTAAAACAGACTTTGTAATAAAAGTAGAGTATGAAACATACCAGTCAGTGAAAGACACCACAATGGACAACTTAATGATGTGACAGACATTATTATGATTTTATTGCTGAAATGTAAATCCTACCTGTCTATAGACATCCTCTTATTCAGGATAGAGTCAAACTTAATAAATTGTTCTCCACTTTCTGAGTACAGTGTCTCTGGAGCTCTGCTCTCCTGCAGCCACAAACACACCAGCCGATTAGGCTCCTTTCTTCTGTTTCATTGTATTGTTTTATTCGATTTTATCCTCAGGGATCATCCAACGAGTGCAGACTGGGACACAACTCTCCGTCTTCCTTCTGCCATGGAAACGAGGTGCAGGCGGTGGAGGTTCCACCCAGCTCGACGTCCTGCAGGATCAAACTGTTCCTGGACCACCAGGGTCCGCTGTGCTTCTATAAAGGTGATACCCAGAGGAGTCTGCCTACTACACCTACTTCAACCAGCCACACTACCCCACAGTGTCCACCTTCTGAACCAGGACCTGAGGGAGCATCTGAACATCTGCCTGCTATTAGGTCAGTAAATCTGAGCAATTTTTAATGTTACTCAGAAAAATGATTCAGGTACTAACTTTAGCATTTCTGTTACATCTGCCAGTGAATGTTTCCCAATAAAAAATAAAAAATAAAATATATATATATATATATATATATATAGTGTAGTGTCGTTTATTATAGATCATTTCTAATTGCCATTTTTATTGTTTTTGTAACCTGAATTTAAATATATTTTTGCTTTATATAGGATTTGTGCTTTTATAGCCTCAGAAGTGAGCTGTCAGTCAGGCTCTAGTACTGACAGTGTTCCTGCACTGATAGCTAGTTGGATATACTGTATATTATCAGTGAGGGCTGGTAATACCTCAGGGACTGATGTGCTTTTGCCAGGATCAGACTACATGACATCAGTCCATTAAGCTGTCATTTTATCCTGCGTAGTAGGGACAACAACCAATGTTATGTCGGTTATATGTTCTCTACTAGTTGGACATTTCTAACATTATTTGGTCACCATGGTTAACATTCAGGTGTCTGCGAACGCTGTCAGCTGAAGTACCTCCACTGAAAGGGGCCATTACAACTGCAGTGTCACGTAGTCTGATCCCTGCAGTGTTCAGCATACTGTAGATAGTTATAGTTTTGAAATATATAGCTGAGATTTCTGCCTCCACCCCAATAGTACAGGAAAATGAATTTTGTTTGTGGCGCTGATAACATAAAAATGAAAACAGAAAACTGACAGCACCTCTTTGCAAAAACAATGTCCCTGCTTCTCTAACCAATCCATAAACCTTTTCACTGGAACTACTTTCTACAGGAGGAAACTGTCAGTAACCAGGTCGTTGTTTTTGTAAAGACTTGCTGTTGAATTTTTAAATGGTGTCCAACCACAAACTAAAGGTCCTTTCACTTCCATTGTTTTGAGTAAGAAGTAAACGTCTAAACATCTGGGTGCCTCGTCGATCAGTTCATGATCCTTACAAACTTAGGACAAGAACACTACATTTGTTTCCATCTTCTGAAATCATACTCCATGAGACATTAGCTTCAGTGCAAGAGTTGGATTTTATTATTATTAACCGTTGACATAATCAGCAGAGAAACAAAGCGTTTACGAAAGACACAAAGACACACTGGAATCAGATCTTGTTGAAAGCTGCTACGTCGACACTCTGGATCTGAAACAGAGCAAAAGGAACGGGGTTATTCTCCAGGCTCCCTCTCACCTGGGGAACGGTACTCTGATTTCTGTTGGACAGTAACTAGACAATCCTTTGTTTCAGCCTCATTATGACCACATGATGGCAGCAACATGCTGGCAGTGACTGAGAAGAAGATTCACTGACTTGTACCAGTTAATGACACTTTGAGACTATTAGAATAATGTTAACTGAATGTCTTCTGATTTGTGTAAAATGTACACAAAAAACTAAATAGGCCTAAACACTGAATTTGTTTACTCATTCCCATTGGTCAGTGAAATGGCAGACTACTTTTTAAGACTTGCAGATTCCCTGTTAAATCACAAATATTAAGATAGTTGATTCCAGATGTTTAAAAAGTGTGAGTGCGTGTGAGCCCTTTGCAGGAGTGTGTATTGCACAGTACTTACATAGTCTTCAAACTTGGTGATTTCTTCCTCCAACATGTCTGTTCCCACCTTGTCGTCCTCCACCACACATGCGATCTGGAGCTTCTTGATGCCGTAACCCACAGGAACCAGTTTGGACGTGCCCCATAACAGACCGTCGGCTTGCACCGAGCGCACGCACTCCTCCAGCTTCGCCATGTCGGTTTCATCATCCCACTAAAAAAAAGGCAGGGGAAGAAAGCTGTCGGTCTCAAACTTATACATAAAAAATGTATTCAGCTGGTATTTATTCATATTTTCAGACTCTGATGAATGTGGAGTAAATCAGGACTCACAGGTTTGACATCCAATAAGATGGAGGACTTGGCGATGATGCCGGGCTTCTTGGCCTTCTTCTCTGCGTACTCTTTCAATCTCTGCTCTTTGAGTTTCTCTGCCTCTTCATCATCATCACTACCAAACAGGTCAATATCATCATCATCGTCGTCCTCCTCCTCCTCTTCCTCTTTTACGGGGGCGGAGGTCTTCTGCTGGACGGTAGTGCCCTGAACAGAGTAAAAAAGAACCACATGCTCACACGGAGGTGGTGACGTACTGGAGCTACGATAAAACTGAAACACAAGATGACAGAGTTGATAAAAGCGGTTGATATGAACTCACATTAGTGTAGGGAACTGAAGGAGTGGGAGCCGGGGTCACAGCCGCGGGAGACTTCTCCAGAACGGCCACACGACATTCCAGTTTGGAAAGAGCAACCCTCAAGTCATCGACCACTAAAGAAACAGGACCAGAGTCAGTGAGTGTTGTGTACAGGAAGGGAACACATACAAAAATAAATCAACATGTATCCTGACAGGAGACACTGAAATTAAACAACAAGCTACAACAATTCATTGTCTAGTTGAGGAGTATTTTTTGTAGTTTGTTGGTCATATAAAATGAGCAGTTTTTAGACATCAAGTCGGCTCAGGTTACGTCTGATGACCATTTGTCAGCCTTAACTGTGGATGGACAGACTGAACAGGTGATTAGGGCTCCAATTAATTATGCAACAAATATTTTCATTGATCTAACGTCCTCAATTAATCAATTATTTAGTATATAAAATATTAGAAAATAAGGACAAATCATCCTCATAAGCTGCATGCCAGAGGAGTCGTCTTGCAATTGCAGACTTTGATTACTAACAGTTTAAAAAAAATTATTGTTTATAATAATTATAAAGAAAAACTGAAAAAAACACTTGTATTATAAAATCTGAATGTTTGACAAATTGCTTAAAATTGTTATTTGTCAAATAAAAAAACCAAAAGTAATTGTGACAGCACTACATTTGATTATTCTGAATTGCTAATGGTGGCTTATGTAACACCCACACAGTCCCTGAGCACACTGAACTAGCCTCCACACAGGTAAACAAAACAAATGCATTAATATTTGATCGACGTCAAACCAACCCACCTTTGTGTAAGCTATGGTTCTCCAGCTCCAGGCTCTTAATGCGGGAGACGATTTCTCCTTGATCAGCTGCACTGCTGCTGCTCTGCACAGTAAAGACACAAAGACAGAGTTTACTGAGGGCAACAACTAATGGCCAAACCACAGTGTTAGTCCTTTCATCAAACCCCGTGAAGCAGACCTTGTATGTGAACACACGACACACAGCCAGCGTCCATCTCAGCAGCAGAAACACAGGAGCTGTAGATGGAGCCTGATAGAAAGTGATAAGCAGCTACTTGGTCTGCAACACTCCACACAAAAATATCTACAAGCGGAGGTAAAGGCTGAACTCAGATGAACTCAAACTCAAGCGGGGGGGATGTCAGCGAGGGGCTTCCAGGGACACACAAGCCTTGGCGGCACTTACTAGCTGGGACTGTTGGCTGGAAGGTTGAGCAGACCCTCTGCTACACAATGTATTCTTCAGCTGGGGGGGGAGGAATTTAAAGCATGAAAAAGGGAGGGATGGAGGAACAGAACAGAAGCTGAAGGAGGAGTGTGAAACAGAAAGCAAACTGATGAAGACCCCGTAGGGCTGGGAGGTTTTGGAACATGGCAGAATAAAGGCAGCTACTGTATGTCCATACTTATACTCATGTCTCTGTAGAGGAAGGTTTGTATGGCTTCAGCTGAACACCAAGCTTCTACTTAAACTATTTTTTATCAGCAACACAATTACACAATTTGGTTAAACCTGTCAGCAGGGGAACCATGAAAAGAAAACCTCCAAAAACTTAACTGAATAAAAAAAATAATGGGATTTTAGAGATACAAAACATGATTTAAGGCACTGGGATATCTTCCTAAATGTTACGACTCAAGAGGTGCAGGAATTACATCAGTCCTGCAATTAGGGGAACAATACGAACTTAAAACCTACCACTTCAGCTGGCAATTCACTTTATTTTAGTCACTTATTTCATGTAATTATATTGTAAAATGTTTGTATTTTATTTTTATTCCTTTTTTTCTTTTATTTTAATTTAGCCTTTTCTTCTATATATATATATATATATATAAGTTTCTAGTCTAGCTTGTATTAAATTATTTTATTGTTACAGCTCTTCAATCTATTTTATTGTTATTTTTTCTTTGTTGTATCGTTTTTTTCTATTCCATCAAGTTTGTATTCCCCTCTACTTCAGCCTAGACTTGGTCTGTCTTATTATCAGCTTGTCAGTCATTTTAAAGGACTTTGAACTGCACTAATTTGTATGAAAGGGGCTATACAAAATATACAAATAAAGTTGGATTAAAAGTCATTACAATCAGCAAAGCACACTATGCTGAGCAATCAGAAAGAATGTGCCTTTCACTGAAGGTTTCTCATCGTGTTTCATTAATCCGATTTTCAGGCCACATAATAGTGACATGTCAATGTGTGTACAAGAGGTGTGACCTTGGCTTATTTGGGGCTGCAGTTTGCTCAGACTACATGTTCAGTACTGTGGAGATAAGAGGCAGAGTCGGCCCACAGCGTGTACTTACTCCTGCTAGAGATTTCTGGATGTTCTCTCGGGCCCGAGCGATGTCTTGCAGAATGGTGTTAGCTCCAACATCCTTAAAGAAAAATAATAGGTGTCAATGTAGATCCATCCTTTACTTTATTCATCCTTTGCAAAGTTTCAGTAACACTAATATTGAGAGACTCAACAGATTCAATGCGTCTTTGTAAGCTATATTTATTTTCAGCCTTGTACAGCCCTCTTCATCATATCATCACAAAGTGCTTATGGCAGAGTGGATAGACTGCACCAAGTTTTTAAATCTGGTAAATGTAATATCAATACAAAAGAGAACTTCAAGAATGAACACAAATACGGTACCTGTGATGGTTGTGAGGAGCCGTTCATTCGCTCATAGAAGCGTCTCTCTGCCTCGTCATAGCGAGGTTTGTCAAACCAGATCTTCTCCTGGGCCAGAAAGTCCACGGAACTCATGTTTCTATAGACGAGGAGCGAGGAAGGACAAGAGAGGGATATATGAACACGACACAGGAGGTCAGGGAAAAAAGGAAAACATAAATCTGTATTACTACTCATAATAATTATGCTTAAAATCACTTTATATGTGATTTATATTAAATACATCTTACATTTTTCATCATAAAATGACTTATTTAATGTATTCTTTTATCTACACTCCCCACAAACAGACCACCCCAACGCAACTGTGCAACAGAAACGTTAAAATGGAGTTCAATTGGCAAAACGCAACAATGGCTCATACAAAAACAGTCATTCAGGAAATGCTGAAACAGACCTCAAGGTATAAAGAATCGACAAATGAAAAAGCAAGATGGACAATGAAAAAGAATAATGTTCACGCACTCAAAAAACAATGGGCGGAAACACATGATTACGTAAAGAAAAACAATGAAAGGTAAAACTGAAACATCTGGAGCAGCTCCATTCTCCCGGTTTGGTCATACTTGTCCCTCATTGGGGCGGGGGAGGTAACCGATGGCGCTTCTGGCCGCCGGCCCTTCTTCGCCACCGCAGCTTCACTCCCACTGTAACCATGGAAACGGCTCTCTGCAGCATCATACCGCCATTTGTCCAACCACACCCGCTCGTTGTCCGGGTGCGCGAAGTAGCAAACTCCGGCCCCCGAATCCTCTTCCTTCTCTAGGACCTCGGCTGGCTCCTCTTCCTCCTGAATAGGGAGCAGAGCGTGGAAGACTTCTGCTTTACCCTGCGGGACCACCCGTTTTTCCTCCACCGCCACTTCCTCATCTTCTTCCTCCTCCTCTTCTACAAGGCTTTGAGGGTGGTCGCTACTTCTGGAAGTGGAGGCGGAGCTGCAGCGTTTGGAGGAATTGTTACCGTACAGATTCTGGTAGAAGGCTGCCTCGGCGCGGTCATACAGCGGTTTCTCCAGCCACACATCTCTCAGCAGCTCCACGGGGATGCGGGGCAGTCCGTTAATCGACTGTCGATTGGTTGGTGTGACAGCTGCTTGTTGGGCGACAGGGGTGGCAGGAGTCGGGGCTAGAGACTGATATCCTTCATCGGGCGTTCTGGGTGCAATGGCGCGGTTGGGCTGGGCTGGGATGTCTAGAGAATTTGGAATGGACGGCATGGATGCTTCTACGAAGCGGCGTTCTGCTTGGTCAAAGGTCGTCTTGTTCACCCACACGGCCTGGACGACATGGTGGCAGGCCACCTGATCACCATGGTGGCACACCTGTCCTGAGGAAGATGGAGCCACAGTGGGCGGAGACTTTGAATGTTTCCCTGGGGCTGGAGGTGACCGGTTTGACTTGGTGGTCCCATTGGAGGAGCTCGCCAACCAACACTGGTAGAGGCTCTCGGCTCGCTCATAGATGCCGCGTTCAAACCACACACTAGCACACTCAGACTGCAGGCCAATGAGCCCAGCACGGGGGTCAGGCGGCTGGCTGGTCCTTTTGTCTGGCTTCTCTTCACTCTTGGTCTTAATGTCCACCTTCCCCTCAGCACGACTCTCGGGATTGGATGAACGTTTCTTGCGACGGCGGCTTTTTCCGCTGCGCTTTCCATCTCCGTTCAAGCTGCCGCTCTCTGGGGACGATGACGCCGTCTCTCCGTTTCTTTGACCTGATTCAGCCTTCTTCCTACACCCCAGTGCTGCATTTGCGGACCGGTCCACCTGACAATTGCTGGGAGGCTGATCATGCTCTGACTGATCCACTGCAGAGCACTGGGGGATCTTCTTAGACATCATCTTTGATCCGTTGCAGGAAAAAAAAACAGAAGAGAATAACAGGTACAGGCTTTTGGATTAGTTAGAGAGACACAGGAAGGTTAAAAGATACAAAAGGGATTGATCTATTAGACTCAGTACTACAAACAAACTGACTTTGTTATAGAGTTGTATGTATGATAATACACCACAAAATAGAGTCTACGATTCAGTCCCAGAGAAACGCAAGAAGCATGCAGGAAACAAGAAGAAAACCATGCAGATGAACAGAAGTGTTTAGTGAATGGAATCAACTTCATTGAGATTTGTCAAGTGTCAGTATAAAAGTAAAGAATCCTAATGAACCTAAGCTCACATGGTATAAACTCAGGAATTTAAGTAAGGGACAATCAACACTGACTTTCATGCTTTGATAGACTAACAGCATGAAAGTCAGTGTTAATGCCAGATGGAGGTTGTCTAAATGAAGCCAAAAATGTAAAATGCGAGTTCGGATCTGAGCTGCAGTTCCTGCTACATGTTGATTTCCCAAACAGACAAGCAACACTTACACTTTACACACTACCAGCACTGCTGGTAGACATGACTCGGGTTTGCCTTAGTGGAACTTGCTGACAATGATTGCTTTTAAGTACAGTTATTGAAATGAAAACATACACACAGCTATTGAGCTATATTTAGCCAGACAGCAAAACTCACATATCATCATGCAATGTATTTGTGTCCAGCTTGTTCTATATGCTTTTAAAGTGACACAGTAGAGTTCTGCAGTGCCATTATAACACTATAGCCCCTCGTTATCACGCTCATCCTGTGAAGGCATTTACCAAAAGGTACATTCAGTCAATGTCTGTGAATACTAATGCAAGCAGCATAATGTGTTCTGTTTAATTATGTTTTCATAAGATGCATTTAAGTATTATGGCTTTCCAACATTATAATGTAATGTTAACTGGTGCCTTATGTCTAACCAACACATAATTTCGAACCATTTTCCCCATAACTTTGTTGTAAACTCTTCTCGGTCAAATTTTTTTTAAATTTTGAACTCTACAAATGTGGCACAAGACTTGACGAACCTTGACACAATCACACAAGGACACACAAAAAGGAAAAAGGATGTGACAAATCAAAAGGCAAAACATTGGAGCTTGGGATTATAAATAAATAAAAAAAAGAGTAAAACCACATGCTAACCTTGATGGATCTTTGAAAAGCACTGACACCATGCACCATGCAAGAAAACTCATTATCAGTACTGGCATTGAGGTTATGCTCTTTTTAAAAAAAAAAAATTTAAAAAATCCAGACATAGCTCAAGCCATGCCATTTTTATGACGTTACATTATTCTGTTGTAATACAGGAAATGCATTCCCTTAATGTTTCACCATGTGGATGTTAGTAATATTGGCGAACACTATTGCACCACTGACATGGACGTGGGACTGTTTTGGGAAGGCATTTCCTGCTTCATGTTTATTAGAAAAAGCTCTTGACTCACCTTCCTCGGTAAAAGGCGTTGAGCTTATACTAGTATGAAAATCAAATGCTCAACACGTTCTTTTCATCCAGTTAACCGCAAGCCATTAAGAAAAGAAATTGAACAATCACCACCTTGCAAAAACAATGAAGCTGATACGTAAGGGTTTGGACAAAGGGCAAAACGAAAACTCAAAAAACAGGGAGGTAAATGTCAGCGTTATACAGAATACTCACTTGTCAAATTCTGAATGCAAGATGAGGGGAAAGAAGCTACGTGTTAAAGATTTCTCTAAATGAATACCTCTGATATCAAGCAAGAACTTCAAGCAACAACTTGGATGCATCCCAAAGCTTCCTCCCTCCCTCCCCCCTACTTTATCTGCTTTTCTCCTCCCTTCAAATGGAAGCCCCCAGGGACAGCTTAGTTTCCTCGCCATCATCAAAAATAAACATTTCCTGTTAAAAAATTGTCCTACCAAAACCCTTCAACCCAATTAGCCAATCAAGCACATTAGGGGTGTTGTTAAAACGGTGATAACAGCGCTCTTGTATGCCGACTGGTAGCCATGCTGGCAGCTGCACATGCATGCATGTTGCCAGATCTCTCTGCCACATTTCATAATTTCTTGTGTTTTCTTTATGGGGGGTTATTTTTATGACGCACCCCTTCTGATGCAGCTCTATTGACAACCAGTGTATGAACTGTTTTAGATAGACTACACCAAAACCAACAATGTGGTCAATACTTCGCAACTCCTCTAATCTAAGCTGGGCCTTGTAGGTTTTAACAAATGCTATTCAAAAACAGAAGGAAACAATGGACTATTTTAAGCAGCGTATTAATACACATTTGGCGCTCTAGTAAGTATTTCTGGCAGCAGGACGGTGTACGTGGGGATTGACTAAAAATAAACCACAGTGTCCATGTTAATTGTTATAAAAGGAACAAGTTTGACAACAATTGAGCTGTTCGGCACAGATACATTACATTAGGCTTACACTGTTGGCAGCAGGGATGCACAATATGATAAAACCATCATATTGCAATTACTGTGACAGATATTAAGTCACGATTAGTGTGGGAATTTAAAATCATGATGATGTGAAATTAGATACCAGCGTATCTCTGCAGCACTACAGTACTTCATTATAATGCCGTCTAGTCCCACATTTTACCTTTAACCCCCAAAAAAAATGCAGCTTCTGTGATTTACTTTTTGCATTTTCTGTAATATTTTGATTAATTGTGCATCCCTAGTTGCCAGCATACATATACAAATACATATCCTTTAAGTGCTCACATGAATATCTGCAATGTCATCATCATATAACCCGTGTCAAGTGTCCACAATCAATGATGCCAATGTAAAAGATTCCCATCCCCACAAGGAGATCAACTGCAGGGTCAGATGCATTACAACACCCCAGGAAGGGGTGGGGTACAGTGATTTACTCAAGGGCGCTTCAGCAAGACAGATGCTTCATTTACCATTAATATAGTAATTTTATTGTATTTAAAGTTGAAATAAAATACTCATACATCCTCAAGCACAAACCTGAAAAGTGTATCAGTTTAGGTTTAATAAAATAACAGCATCCTCTTTAAAAAAAATAAAAAATAAATAAACTTTACACTTGAAAACTTTCACTAAAAAAGGTCACCAATGTATCATGAAGGAAAGTCTGTCGTACAAGATGTTACACAATAAAAGAGAGAGGCACTAACATCAGCTCCCTGCTAACCTCAACATTAGCCATCTGTCATGCTCAAGTAGCTCGGATAAAACAGTAGGCGGTTAGCATTTCATTTAAAAGACCCCAAAACAACTCCGGTTCTTTTTAAAATGTCCCCACTACAGCTTTCGTTGTTTCCATTCGGTCGTGTATATAAAATGTCAGACTGTAACAGCGGCCATTGGAGCCGGTGTCCAGCCGGCGTGACATCCGCGTTAGCACTAGCAGCTAGCCGGTGGCTAGCGTCGGCTAACACACGCCGAGCCCCCCTGCGGGCTGCTCCCCCCCCGCTCAATGTTCATTCATTCCCGCAAAATGTCTTTAAAATGAACCCCCGCATTAATCCCCGCACTGAAAACCCCCGGCTGTCAGTCAGCGTCAGCGTTACTTACTGCTGTTTTCTCTTTAGTGAGTCCTGTCGGTGCGGAACCAGGCCGGTGGATAAAACGTGTGCTTCTCCAGCCGTGAGTGACAACGAGGAGGAGGAGGAGGAGGAGGAGGAGGAAGCAAGGAGCAGCGGGGGTTGCGTGATCTTAGACGGGAGGGGGAGGGGGGAGGGGGGGGTATTATGAATCATTAATGTTGCCCCATGTTTAATATCATGTATAGTTGACCCTCAGTGATGAGGTAATGTACATTAGTAGGGGACCTCCAGGAGTTAAAGTGAGTTTAAAGCTGCAGTTTATATATATAAAGAAAAAACTTTTTGTCATATTTTTCTTTATATCCTGATGGTTTTATATGAGACAGATAATCTGTGAACAAATCTGGTTCCTCTGGCTCCTCACTGTGCTCCTAAAATGACCAATCAGAGGCGAGATAGATAGTTGATTGCTGAGTCACATTCCCAGGATGGATGAGATTCAACAATCAGCTAAAACATATCCATATAGTTTATTGCAAATGCCATTAGGAGCACTAGAACGAGCCAGAGGGGGAAAAAAAAGTTACCTACAGCAGCTTTAAAAGACGTCTTCATGCACTTTCAACCTTTGTCCTAGTATAACCAGCTTTTACTGTTTATGACATCTTATGTGTTGCTGTAAAACTTCACACATTTCCCCAACTCTTCAACCCAGTAATGTGACAGACAAAACAACGGCAAGAAAAAAACTCTTGGCCCATGATTTCCCTTGAAATAGAAATCAAATTCTCTTCTGTTTCAGAATGTTTTCAGAAATTACATTTTGAAACCTTTGAAGCTTTTGTTTTTGCTCATGTTTGCATAAGAATATTCTTCTCTTTATGGATATAAACGAGTGAAAATAATATTTAGTAGCAGTTGTGGAGATCATATCATACCTCATTACATGATGCTTGGGCTCACTCTATAGGTTGATACAGAAACGTGGTGAGATTAGGACTGTAACTAAGAATTATGTTCATTATTAGTAAATCTTCCAGTTATTTTCTGGATAAATCAATTAAATGTTTGGTAATTAAATGGTTAACAAAACAAAAAAAGGTGGAAAAATGACCCATCACAATTTCCTGAACCCTAAAGTGAGTCTTGAAATTGTTTGTTTCGTCCTACCAACAACCCAAAACCCCCAAATATTCAATTTACGATGATATAAAACAGAGAAGAGCAGTTCCATCTATTTTTCCACTGATCTGTGTGACTTCATATCGCCTCTAGTCATTGTGAATTTGAGCTTCAACTCAAAAAATAAGTCAATGCACAAAGGGAGCCGGTTCACATTACGACACTTTATGAAGACCCATCCTACACTCTCGGCATCGTAGATCATGAATATTATTTCTCAACATTGTGTTATACACAAAGCCAGTAAATACTGTAGATGTTCACTACACCCGGGACAGAAACTATCAGCAGCTGCACAACCACGATCACTCTGACATTATTCCAAATTTAAGTTTAAAGCTTCATTTGGCCAAATATTAAATAATATATTTTAATATAATTAAATACATCCACACATTTCACTTCCATCCTGTAGTCCACATTAAATGCACATATTATACCCAATCATTGCTAGTAAGGCTTTGTTTAAACAAGTTGATTCTTGGACTGATCAATGCTACAGAGTAAAGTCACCCTCTCCATATACATTTGTGTTTCCTTCAGTACTCAAGCTTGCAGGCTAACATGGCCTTCAATAAATGTGCCTAAAATAGAATTACTGTGCATCTTATTGTGATTACAATATCCACAACCACAGGAATAATCTACTTTGGGCGTCACCTTACTTGCATTCCTGCCTCAGTGAGTAAAGATTGGATTATTGGTGTGCATGTAGAAGTTGCCATTCTCTCAAATAAATCACAGGCTCATGATCAAATAATTTACTCCTCAATGTCAAGATTAAGACAATATTTCCTTTTTGCTCACGACAAATCCCTCCGGTCAAAGACATGAAAAAGAGTATGAATGAGTATGAACTGCACTTAAAAAGGGAAAAATAAAAGGGAGAAAATGAAATAAAAAAAATAAAAAATTGGACAAGTCCTGTTTTGTCTTTGAGTTCCATTGTGATTGGTTGAGCTAAAAAGTCAGTTTATTGTTAGGCTTGAATAAGGTCCACTGAGCGGGTATATAAAGGCAAACAGCGGCCGTCATTTCCTTGCTGCTGACTTCCGGCCGAGCTCCCTGGCTCTCTCGGTGGCAGATTCCACGGCGCTCATGGTCGACGCCCTCACACCGCCCTGCTCCAGGGTGTGAAGCCCGTAGATGGTTGTTCCACCCGGGGTGCAGACCTCAGAGCGGAGCTGAGCCGGATGCTTCCCAGAGTCACGTAATAATCTGCCAGCGCCCTGCAACAGATGGAACAGGAACCAAACTAATGACGGTGGGTTCAGGCATTGTGCTGGCATGCATAAAATGTGAAAGAGTAAAGAGTATTCTTAGCAATAATAAAACTGCTGATGTCGCCAGAGTGAAGCAAAAACTTGCACACAGTGAAACTGACCAGAACAGTTTGAGATGCGATGCTGTGTGCCAGAGCACTTGGCATTCCCATTTTAACAGCTCCTTCTGCCAGCGCTTCAGCAAACAGATACACCTGCAGAGAGGGATCACATGCAGCCGAGTCAAAATGTGCACAAATTCTGTTTTCTTTCTGTTCCATAAAAAGAGAGAAGGGCACACAAGCGTGTTCGTGACCTTATATTACTGCAATGTACACAATTTCTGTGGTATCATATCAGGATTTTGTACCATTTCATGGTGTTGTGTTAGATATTTGTCAATGCTTTTTGGAAGTTGCTTTGAATTCCTTTTTAATTTTAAAAGACTTGAAACTTACTTTAGGTCATTATTTTGTATTCTGTACAAGTCTCAGTAAAACACTGAAACAAAGTACATTTTATATCAACTATATGATTAGATTCAGTTGCTTAAGACAACATTTTCAAGAAAGAGACAAAGATGGAGTTTGACTCTGTATTAATACTTTGTGGACTTTTCTTATTAGAAAACATTAACACTGAACAATAATGTAATTTGACAATAAAAGCAGAGATTCATTAAGATTCATTGTGATTATTTAAAGTCCTTACATTGGTAACTAAATATAAAACAGGCCTGAATCAAAATTAACTTCTCTATTTTGAGGAAGTCTTATTAGAAGAGTCTGCCAGCTGTTACAAAGTTTTTCCCCGAAACAGGGATACATCGATTGGGAAATTCTGGGCTGGTAGGATGCTTAAAATAACAATTAATTTGTTCATTATTTTGTGCCATGGGAAACAAAGAACGCTACAGAGATAAGCATCTTGTTGCAGCTGAGTCTATTTCTCTTCTCATCCAAGATGTGAGAGGCAGAGCTGAACAGCTGCTGACTGTCTGTGCTGCTGCATGGAGCACATCAGTGTTAGGTTGCGATTTGTGCCAGTGCTGGAGAACAGCGCTGACTATTTCCCCAACCTCAGAGTTAGAAAGAACCAACACATTTAGTCAGCGTAAAACTGCTGACGCAACAGATAAACATCAGCCACAGCCGAAGTCAGTCAACAAGGTGAATATCGGTGCATCCCTACTGCAAACCACACAATCCTGGGACACTCACAAAAGCGACTCCGCTCCCGCTCAGTCCAGTGTGGATGTCAATCCAGGACTCAGGTCCCTCCTCCACCAAACCACAGCGGTGCAACAAGGAGCGTAGCAGAGCTCCATCCTCCTGTTTTGCATGGGATCCGCGTGCAAACAGGAGAGCCCCTTCTTGAACCAAACAAGGGAGATTTGGCATCAGCCTGATGGCAACTGAATTCTCTGGCAGGAGCTTGGGATTGAAAGAGACAAACAGAACATTGCTCATCTTTAGATCACTAAGGAACCACCATTTCAGAACCATTACACATGTGCTAGGGCACTCACCTCTTCCAGTGTTGACAGGGTTACTCCTGCTGCCACAGACACAATTATGTGTCGGTCAGTGACGTGTTGGGAGATCTCATTGAGAACGAGTGAAACCAGGTGAGGTTTGACGGCTACGAAAACCACATCCGACCCACAGACCACCTCTATGTTGGAGTGAGTGATGGGAATCCCGAGCTCCTGAAAGCCAATGGGAGGGATGTTACTGATCCAAACGTTCACCTGCATGTGAAGTCCATGCTCACAGGTGAAGAAAAATCAACAGATCACCTCGTCTTACTGACAAATAATAAATAAAACACAGCATGCAGAGGAAAACCACAGAGAGGGGCAGGTGTAAAGTTAGGAACTTGGATCATTTGTGCACCAAAATTTGATATTAATTAATGTTACAGGTTGTTGCTCAGGTCAGTTGGTCAAAAGCACCCAGAGCTTTATCAACTGGATAGTGACTGTGTTTTAGTACTGAGCTGCCTACAAACCCCTAATTTATTCTTTTGACTAAATATTTCATCACATACTGCATCTATTTTTAATATACAGTTATTATGCTACAATGGCACACATACCACTATGTGTCAGGCAGTGGACAATTTCTTCTAAACAGAAATAATTCTTCAATCAAGAATCAACCAGCCAGAATCAACAAAAAAACAAAAATTCCCCGTTGCTAGTTTTAAAAAGTTGTATTTATTTTTTTGCAAAAAATATCTGAATACACTTTGGTTTTGCCAGGTCAGCACAATGTGGCGTTATCTGTGCACACAGGATCACACAGAAACAGAACAAGGTCAGCATTACATTGGGTTGGTTTGCAGGAGAACGATCCATTCACAAGGAACCTGATCTTACAAACAGCAACCGTGATCCTAAACTGCTCACTGTCCTGCAGTCTAAGCCATCCTTACTGAGACAGAACAGTAAAAAAAAAAAGTACCTGAAAGCGTCCTAGGTTCCTGGAGGATGGAGCGCTCACTTTGACGTTTACAGGAAGAACATTTCCTTTATTGGGGAACACACACACGAGACTGTTAACATCTTTACTTAAACCCCCTCTGCTCTGTTTCAACGACTCTCTCCTGACTCACCCGTCAAGATGCCCTTCGCGATGCCGAAGGCCATGTTCCCCGCACCGATAAAACCAATCTTCAGCTGCGAGTCCATCTCAGGGTCCATTTTGATCTAAAGAAAAAGAACAGATTTGAGTGGAAACATCAACAACACGCAAACACCTGAAGACTAAAGGTGTGAATCACAGGACAACCAACGACACAGCACTGTCATGACACAGTTCCCACAGTAACAATGGCATCACACATTATCACACATATACACCACGATTCTGTTATATACGATAACCCTGCGAGACAAGTAAAGCTGCGACCATTCGTCAACTGATTGATTAGTCGATCGACGGAAGATTACTCAGCGACTATTTTGAAAATCGGGCATCATTATGAGCAATCGTTTTAGTTATTTTTCAAGCAAACTGGTCACTGGTTCCACCTTGTCAAATGAGAGGAGTTGATTCTGTTCTTCGTCTGTGAGTATCTTTGAGTTTCGGACTGTCGGTTGAGTTAAACAAGCTATTTAAATACAGAACGTTGGCAAGACAGAAATTATAACGGTAAAGTTTTATAGACAACACTGAGAAAACTGTCAGCAGATTGTTCGCTAATGAAAATAATAGTTGCAGCATTAGAGGCAATAAATCAACTATGATGTAAATATCTTGTTAACTGAAGCAAAATATCAAGAATCAGTTATATATTTATCAAATGTATTGAGGTGCTTTCAGTTTCCACCGAGAGAACATATGTAACAGAGTGCACAAGCTAAGCTTTTCAACAATAAAGCAGCAGCATGTACATACTGTATGCGCCACAGAAAATTTCCCTAAACTAAAAAAAGCTGCCATGGAGAACATCTCCAGACCTAAAAACTGTCTGAAGCAAAAGGAGACACATCCCTCATTGTAACCGACATCATTCCAACGTGTGGAAATCAATCAAGAGCAGTTTACTGTAGCCAATCCTTCACCCTCGCTACATCCCAACACTACAGTAGATATCACAATAGATCAATCAATGTGATTCAGTACTACTGTGCTGTGTAAATAAAATATGTACTTTAGGGATTCTTGTATCAATAACACGTTGTCGACGGTGTCTACATGCACACAAAAAACCTGATTACTGTGAGATAAATCAAATTAAGGCAAGAAATCAGACTGCTGCCAGAGAGTGCTTTCCCTGTTCTGGGTCTTTTTGTCATACAACTGCATCGTTAACCCGGTTAAGAGTTTACAGGACCAAGAAAGCTGGTTCCTGCAGCAGAGAAACCTGCTGGAAAATCTGATTTCTCCCTTTAGCTTGTAACTTGATGACGTTTCAGAGAGCAGGTTACTCCTAAAAGCCGGGAGTAATCAGATTTCTGAACTGCATCTACATTTGGCAAACAGAACGCATCGTGGTGTTGGTATCAGCCAACGAAACATCTGCTGGTTCCAGTTTGTCCAGTGTGAGAAGTTGCTGCTTTTCTCTGTTTTAAGTGATTGGAAATTGGGATTTTGGGCTGTTGACTGACAAAGCAAGTAACTTGAAGGCGGCACTTTGGGCGCTGACAAAAATGCCACAGACTACAAAAACAGACTTTTTTGTACCAAAGTAGGCCAGATATTACTGAATACATTATTTTGCACACATCCTCTTGAGACCAACTACACTCAGTTTATTGGGTCAGAGGTAAAAAAAAAAAAAAACGAATGCAGCTTAATACAACAGACCTGCAATGAATCCTGCCTTCATGAAAATTATAATCCTCAGTTCTTGTTGAAACTGCACTGATGGTCATTCTGGAGATTGTAGTTCATGGTGCTGTTGACTTCTCTCAAAGATTTTACTCAAGCATTTTGAATGCCTTGACTCAACTTCCCATATCAAGTGTGTAGGAGAAACTACGGTGGCCTGGAAAAAACAAAAACCATCTAGAGCCAGTATTTTAGGCTACTGTAGAAACAAACGCACAATAATTCTTATTTTCAGGTGATTATACACAAATGAAGAGATACATATGGATATTATATTCCATCTCTTCCAATAGATCCTCCTGAATAATACACACTGGACCTTTTGTGCGTTGGTAATTTGCGTGCTGCGTGTTTTTTCTTGTACACAGGCACTTGGATCTCAATGAGACCTGTTTAAATAAAAGGACTAAACAACAATTATATTACCTTAAAGTGTTATACAAGCATTTGGGTGGGGCAGAATATTACAAACCTCTCTCTCTCTCTCTATTGCAAAAACATCACCACACACACACACACACCTCCAAAATGAGAGTGATGAACGCAGGAGTCACTGCAGGATTGCACTACATTTACAGTAAATGAGTGATATTAGAAACAACCCAGAGACATGTTCACAGTAAAGCACACAGTTGAGGAGGAGGAGGAGGAGGAGGAGGGGTGAATGAATGAATGCATGCATGCATTCTGGACCAACACATGGAAGTAATGAAATCATGATCTAATGACACATCGCATCCACGGTATCACCCCTACAATTAAATCCAGGTTCTGAGAGGTATTGTCCGGGCAGGGCTGCGGCCAGTGCAGCATGGATGCTTCTCCATCCGAGTCTTCAGTCGCTTCATCATTCCTGTCGGAGTTGACCCCAGCTCCGACCAGCGGGTGTCTGGACTCCATGATAGCCACCATAGTCTTCTCGTACCGCCACCAGCCCTGTATTTTGGTCGGGGCCGGGGACTCGGGCTCTCTCTTGCACTTGTAATACGCACTTTTGAGAAGTTTCCAGCGGAACTTGAGCTGGTCCACCGACCTGTGGTACCCGGCCGCCGTCATCCTCCGGTGGGCCACCTTGAACAGTTTGTTATTCCTCACTTTCCTCCCGTCCAGGCACTTCTTCATGTCCAGCTCCTTGAGGATTTCCAGGAACAACTCCGTCTCCTTCACGTCCCAGTTCTGCTTCTTGATGCCGGAGTCGTCCATTGTTGTTGTCGTGGCAACGTTAGCCTCGTTATAGCTCGGCGGCTAGTTGAACGCTAGCCCCCCCAAATATTCACACGGCTAGGTGGCTAATGAGGTGCTAACATGTTAAAACCTTAGCTGTGTTTCGGCTACAGGTGGTGGCCGATGAAATGTTTAAAAAAAAACACCCCACGATATCAGAAAAGACTAGCCCCAGCTGCAGCAACGAGCTAGGGATAGCTCGAAGCTAATCCAGGACAGATTAGATTAGAAACACAACGCACGTGTTTTCGTGTTGACTGGACGACCATAAAATAACACGGAGTGACATAAACACGCTGCCAGGCGACGCTGTGAATAACACCGGCTAACGTTGGTGGGAGGAGATTTATTCACCTGATTGTTTTTTGTTTTTTTCAGATTTTCGGATGTCCAGCGTTTTGGAAAGCTCAAAGTGTAGTTTAATTGATCCTTGGATTCAACCGGAGGCATCCACACACCGACCAGCTGAATTCCAGGGAACTATCGGTGGGTTTGTTTTTACGCTCCCTTGCTCGCTGCGCCATGGTTGGGCGGCGCCTTCAGCATCCTGTCGGCCACACATTCCGCACCGTACCTTTCCGTTTCAGCCGGGATGTAAATCAAACACACCCACACACATATTCCCCCCCTCTCTCTCTACTGTGCGTCCCCCTCAAAAATGCGAGTAATCTGATTGGCTCGTGGAATAGGGCGGGGAGCTGGTGGACGGGATTTATCTGTCATTGTGATCAGCTGTGTGTGTGTGTATGTGTGTGTATGTGTGTGTGAGGGAGCCCGGGTCCAAAGGAGTTACCTGCAAACTCAAACAGGTACATGCTTCAGAAATATTTCAGTTAGTGGCACGATGGTTGTTGTTTTTGTTGTTGTTTTGTTGTTGTTTTGTTGTTGTTTTGTGCACATGTTGCTGCAACAATTCGGCGTTTTTGGACGCTTTCTAATGTGTGATGAGTTTTGAGTTGGGTTTTTCCTTGTTTCCCATTTATCTATGGAGGGCATGGGTGATACTTAATGTGCATTCAAACAGGCGGAAACTGCAGATTTAAAAGAGCTTTCTGAGTTGAATTTGTATTTTTGAATCAAAATTTGTTGTGTTTTCCCTAATGCGTAAATTATTAAGTAAAAATGAGTCTTTTTATGGTGCCTTAATGATGCTTTAGTGGTGTACTAATATAAATACTATGTGGGGGCTTGTGCAGCAGAGCAGGCATGCCTGGGCAAGCCTCAGTGTGGTCTTTATTCAAACATCTGAATGAATAAATGAATGAATGCACATTTATTTTTATTATTATAGCTATATGTATCCTGCATGGACTGACAAGACTCCATATATTACTCATATATTCCAGATCCAGAATGTTGCATATACATCTTCAATCAATCAATTAAACATATTGGCTGTGTTGTTGTTGTTGTTGTCGCCCTCTAGCGAGCATCCAGGATATTATACCTTCTCCTGCAAGTTCAAGGTACATTTTAACAAGAGATCTACACCACCAAATAATCAGATTCATATCTTTTGTTTAACTCGAAGTAAAAGTAAGCATATACTGTAAATGTCAGATACTGTTGTAGAGGGTGTGGATCATTTAATATCACTCTCTGTACTGGGGAAATAGTATGTGAAGAAGTAGGTAGACCAAATACTATGAATTCCCTATGAGTTTTATGGCACTTGATCTCTTTAATTTTTCTCTGGAATAAAAAGCAGATATTTAGTTAAAATGCTCCTAATGGCAAGTAAAAAGTTAATATGAGGAACTGGGGAATGCTTGCTTCCCCAAAACAGGGCCAGAGGCTAGTTTTGTTTTGTAAATCTTCTTGTATTTAAAACTGATACTGCAAAAAAAAAAAATATTATACAAGACCCAGAATGGCGACATCCAGTCTGAGCTACAAAAAACACTGAAAAAAATATGGATTTATCATCTCTGGCCAATATAAAGTGTCAAAATGATGCATCGTTATTGTGTCCGGTTCCAGACATGGCCCACAGCCTGACCCACCACCTGTGGTTCCTGCTGATCAGCGTGCTGGCCTGTCAGTGTCCTGCAGTCAGCGGGCTGTTTGAGTGGCTGAAGCGGGCAGATGCACCTCCAGCAGCAGCAGCACCTCCTCCTCCAGCAGCTGCAGCAGTCCCAGCGCTTCTCGCAAAGGATGCTACGTTTGAGATGGCTACTGCCGATGAGAAGTTTTTGGCTGAGGCGAAGCATATGGAGATCAGCCCGTTAGACAGTTGTCATTATAAGGTAAAATTCAGCCTCTGAGCCTTGAAATGCATCTCTGGACATTTTCACGAGATTGGACACGGTAGCAGTTGCCAGAGTAGTCTCTCAGTAGCATTGGTCCACTATTGGTCCACTGGTTTGTCTTTAACATGTGACCTGCGCTGTAGGTGGTCGCCCAGCTGAAGGCGAGCTGTGAGAGCCTCTCAGAGGAGCAGCTCGCGAAGCTTGGAGTCGTTCTGTTTAACTGCCAGTCAGAGAGTGAGGGGCGCCAGACCTACCCGTGTACAGAGAAAATGGTAAAATATAAAGTTATGATTGAAAGAAAATGTTTTTCATCGATACGATTTGTGTGTTTGGTCCTTGTGGGGCTCTTTCTGATCTCATTTCGATGTTTCAGACTATAAAAGAGTGTACAGCGGACATGGATTCAGACACTTGGAATGCTTACCACATAGTGAGCAACAGAGCGCGCTCAGTCTGCTACGCAACTCGCCAGCAGCTCTTCAGACGCAGAGCAGAGCACACTGTCAACACTCTCATCTCCACAGCCACAAGCCAACTAGACGCAATGAAGGACCTGAAGGTAGACTTCTCCTTTGCCCCTTTCGTCTTCATGCTCGGAGTGTGCAGTGAAGGATCAGATCCTGCGTGGGTTGATTTTTCTGATCGTGGTGTTTTGTGACAGGAGGGCCAGCAGGAGCTGAAGGAACAGACTGCAGCCTCCTTGGAGAAGCTGCTGGACGGCCACAGTGCTCTGCAGGCCCAACAGGGGAAACTGTATGAGGGCCAGGAGCTAATGGACAGTTCACTGAGGGACAACCTGCAGCGTCTGGGCCAGGAGAAAGCCCTCATCGCCTCTGGACAGGAACTGGTAGCCCAGCTCATTCAGGGCATCACAAACAGAATGGGTAAGACAGACTGAAACACTCCGCGTGTACTCGGCTAACGTCACTCTGTCTAGTATCATCATGTGTGGAATATTTATAACCCGTCCTCCCTTTTAGAGAACGTGAGTGAGAATCTGCAGATCCAAGGCTCGGAGGTGCAGGACAGCCACAAAGCCATTGTTAAAGACCTCGCAGATGTCAGACACCAAGCTCAGGACATCTACCAAAAGATTGGTAATCAAAACAGAGCGTCACAAATCCAAATTCGTCGGTTTTAAAAGCTGTGGATCAAATCAGCTCTGTCTTTTCTTTTTCATTCAGATCACAGTATGTCGGAGTTGCTGCAGTACCAGGACCAGACCTCTCAGTATTACTCTGACCTGATGAACAAACTGGAGCGCATGAACAGCACCCTGGGCTTCATGCTGCACTACCTTGATAACATGCAGGGCCGGATTGAGGAAAGGCTTCACATGATCCAGGGCTACCTTGGCTGGGCAGGTGAGACCCTCAGCGCAGTGACCACGTTTGTCCAGCTCGGTCTTTTGTAATGAATGGTGAATAAATACAACAAACACTGTTTAAAATTTAAAGTTCCTGTAGTCTACATCCATGTTTTTATCCAATCCAGGACTGAAATGATGAATTGAATTCAGAAAATGAATCCGAAACAGTTTTTTATCATTCCAGTCATTGTTCTAAGCAAAAAGCCTCCAGCTTCTCAAATATAACGATTTGACGCTTTTCTTTGTCATATTCTTTGTGTTTTGGACTGTTGCTTGGACAAAAAGTTACCCTGGGCTCTATGAAGTTCTGATGGGCGTTTCTCATTTGCCATTTTATAGAGTAAACAACTGATCAATCGAAAAAATAATCAGCAGATTAACTGATAATGTAATAATTAATGTAACATTATTACAACAATTAGTTTCAGCCCTAATAAAACCAAAGGCAGATCTCAGTGAAATCTCAGAACTTTGATTTATTGATTTTTATTTCTGGATTATCAGACACAGAAAAATAAAAGAACAAAAATCCAGAGAATAGCAAATTAAAGTGAAAACAATAATTTATAGAAAAGGACAGTTAACAGTCTCGTCTGTTGAAGGAAAGTCAGCCAATATTATATAGATGTAAGATATTTGATTGCTTTGGTGTAAAGGATTTTAAAAAGAAAATAAAATTTAAAAAATGGGACCCCACTGAACCATTAGGAAGATAAAATCAACCAAAGTCTATGAGATGACTTCAAACCACTGAAGGCTAAGATTTTCTTTTCTTTCCGTGGATTAAGTTTTGTTTTTTTTTCTCTGTGGTTCTTGTGATTACAGGGTTGAGCCTGACGGCCATGTGGTCGTGCATCGCACATACAGGTTACTTCGTCCTGTGTGCCGTCCTGCTGACGTTCCTGCGTTGTCCCGGTTTCTCTCGAGCCATGCTGCTGCTCACCGTGCCTCTTAATGCAGTGGCCGAGGTCAACCAGCAGCCGGCGCTGGATCTGACCAGCCTCAGCCTGCTGCTGCTCACTCTGTCTCTGGGTACAGACTGAAAGCTGTTTACAAGGAGAATACAGCACCTCCAGTATGCTCTTATACTTGTCATAATGGTGTTTTTTTTGTATTTGCAGGTCACTGGTTTGTGAGTCAGTTGTGGGCCTGCTTCCAGATCAGAGGGAAGCCAGCTGCCCCGCTGCCACTGGCCCCATGTGAGATTGTGGAGCCACAGAAGCAGCCAGTTTCATCCTGTCACTCATACCCACCGTCCTCTACGCCGCAGAAGTGAGTCTGCAGAGTTCATTATAGAGTGTACTAACTGCAACTACTGATTATTTTTACAACCTGACAATTACTTACTCGATTGTTTTGTCTATAAAATGACTGGAAATTGTTTAAAAAGCCTGCTATCATTTCCCAGAATCCAGGGTGACATCTTGAACATGTTTTTTTTTTTTTTGTCCAACCAACAGTCTGAAACCCAAAGATATTCAATTTACAAAGATAAAAACAGAATAGCAGACTAATTAGTTCAAATTCCCCCTCACGCCTGTATTCTGGACTCATTACAGAATTAAAACTGCTCTTAAAACCCATCTTTTAAAACTAGATTACTATATATCACTATATTACTATTATACTGTATTAGCTCAATCATATTTTATAATATACATACAATAACTTATTGCTTATTTCTTATTACTTTTATGGGTGGGTATTTGATATTACAATAAACAGCTGATAAACTGTACAATGAAGCCAAACAGTGAAAGAAATAACTGGTAGGAAGTTTGTGTAAAGCAAGGGATTTTGGAGGAATTTTGAGCAGATCATTTCCTGTGAATATTGCATCAGGGGTGAGTTTACCTGATATTTTAACAATAATCAATCATGCATATATAATAGGCTATAATCAAAACAAACTTCCACAATATGTTCTTATTTCTTAGTAAGTTAATTTGATGCAGTCTGTGTTTAATTGTTTTCGTCCTCAGAGATGAAAAGGACGGCTTCGTGGAGCAAAACGCCGCGTTGAATCAGGACAGCTTCATATCAGGTTTGAAATATATAAAATGTACCTCTACAGGAAAACGTTTGACAAATGGTTCCCTTTAAAAGCGATACGAGATTCAGTTACTCATTTGATCTCACTTGCGTCTTTGTAACCAGGTGACCTGGGCATATCAGTAGTGTCTCCCCCTCACAGGAAGCCGATGCCAGAGTCCAGGTTTATGCCGGTTATCGGCACACCCAATCACTCCACTCCCAGGCTTGTGCCACACCCTGTTCTGTCATCGGTGAGCAAATTGAGTCAATGTGACTGAAGAAACTATCTCAGTATCTCATGAATTATTAACAGGAACATTTTGTGAATGAAGGCTCTGGTTGATGACATCCCCCTGAGGAACCTGGGAGGTGCGTTTAATGCATTGAACGACTCGCGTGATCTGGTGAACGACTCACGAAGCGCGAGTCCTACCCCGTCGCTAGTCAGCAACAGGTCAGGGTCTTTAAACATGAAAACATACGGCCTTTTTCTACAGTAGATATTTTGGCTTTTGCTAGTTCTTTTCAATGAATAATTTCTCCCTCTTTCCCGTGGCAGCTCCCTATCAGGCCGTCAGCTGTGCAATGGCATCACAAAAACAGGAAAGGCCTGTAAGAAGAGAGCTGTGCCTGGACAGGAGTACTGCAGAGTCCATGAAGGGGGGCACGTCTCCTATTTTCACTCCTGAAATACTCGACTTCATTCCTTTTGATAGGGGGCCTTCTCTGAACTCTTATCAGCTGTTACTGTGTCGTCATTGTAAGTTCTGCCTGCTTTGCTTGAATGTTACGTTTACTAAATGAGCACTACACTCGCAAATTTTTCAAATCTACTTTTACTCCTATGTTTTTACCTGTTCACTTTTAAGTTAATAAATTATTTCTTTACCTATGAGTCCGTCTGTACATGTATTCAAACAAAGCAGTAATAGCAGCACTCTTTAGGTGGTTTGTGTATTTATCTTCCTGTGAAATACAAAAATGTAAATAATTCTCACAAATGCAGATTCAGACAAGACACTTTAAACTTATTGCAGGTATAAAACATTTATTTTGCTCAGTGCCAATACACCAAGTAAAAAAAACATACAAGCCACCAGCTAAACAGCGTGTACCATAACCGTTCTGTTCGTTAAATAACGTGAATCAAGGACGGGTCATTCAAAGGTCCTGTATGTAACATTTAGGAGGATCTATTTGCAGAAATGGAATATAATATGCATAACTATGTTTTCATTAGTGTACAATCACCTGAATATGGTAATCCTTAAGTTTTTGCTATCTTAGAATGAGCCTTTTATATCTACAAACACTGCCTTCGATGGAGTCCACCAAGCGAGGGAGTTGCAATCTGCAGCTAAACCGTTGGGAGGCCACTAAATTGTACACACTTAGGGATTTGGATGTTTAAAGGCCCAAATTGGTAATTGAGTGATTAAATGTTGAACGCTAGAAAAGATGTATACTGGACTTGAAGCAGTCAATTAATTCAAATGAGTAACACTACCATAGTGAAATAAATTCTACATATAGGTAGTAGAATACAGTGCCTACAGTTCCAATAGATTGTTTACTACAGTTAAAGAGGAGCAGGGGGAATACACATGGTATTGCAGATGAATTCAAAGTGCTCACAGTGCACAGTGACAGAATCCAACTGACAGACTTCATGCAGTAACCACTGTCTGCCTGTGCAGATGAACCACCTCGTTTTCTTCCAGCCCTCTCCACTACTGCCTCCTCCATCTGGATCGACAGACTTTGTGACAGGTTGTTTGGCAGAGGTTTCACTTCCGGGCTGAGTCATAGTTGGCAACAAACCAATCACAGGTTTCTTTTAAAGCTGTACGTGAAAGCGAGAATAATCAGTGAAGACACGCAGCAGCAGTCAAAATGTAATTCTCTTTTTCATCGAGTATCTACAATATCTGTCCTGATGGCATCTCAACAGCCATGTACATACACAGATATACACAGTGAGTCAGACCCACCTTGTTTGAAGGGTGTGAAGGTGAAGTCTGGCAGGTAGTGGCGCAGCTTTGCATTGCTGGCGGTCTTTTTGAACTGACCGTCTGATTTACTGGTATCAAACTAGAGGTCAGAGGTCAAGGAAACTACATGGAACTCTACAGATACGTCATGCTTTCCAAAATATTCCAGGTTTTCTGGGAAAATGTCCACATTCGAATCAAAATTTCGGGTTCAAGTTCAAAATTGAAAACAAACTTTTTCTACTCATTCATACTTTCAGCTACAAACTCCATTCAAATCTTCATGTTGAATGGACAACAGCAGAACGTGGACTATAGTTACCAACCTGCTCAAAGGCAAATAATTCAGCATGATTAAAAGGATACCACCACTTCTCCTTTAAAGTCCAGTGCTTGCACAACAGCTTCTGCTGCTTCTTTGATGGACACTTCGTCTTCCTCTCCAACTGGAACCAGCAAAAACAACCCAGGCATTACTTAGAATTAAATTCAGCTTTCACTATTGATATGCTGTGTATGAAGACTCACCAGAGAGAATGATTGGGTCGACCTCTGGATACTCTCTCAAGACCCACAGGAAGAGACGAGCCAGGTCCAAAGAGTAAATGAACTGTCTTCTGGGAGTGCCGGAGCCCCAGACCACCAGGGGCTTCTCCTCCTCTAATCATTCACACAAATGAGTCCATGATTTATATGGTTCCATGTATCCCCACTATCACTATACCCCACTGGTCCAATATGACTATTACTAATCTTACATAACCAATCCATAGCAAATTCTGTGACAATTATTAAATTAAATAAATGGTAACAACAGCACAAACTTCCTATATATACAAACTGTCAAATGAATGTCAAATGAGTTCAGGTCTTTTATCAATGAGCAAAATTAGAGCTGTGCATCCCTTCTAGTTTATTTAAGAGAATGCCACTTACTCTGAGCAATGTAAGCTTTGTGTATGAGGCCTGGCAGCACATGACCGTCCTCAATGCTGAAGTTATCATGGGGACCAAACACATTAGTGGGAATCACAGCTGTATAGCACTTCCCATGCTGCTGGAAATACGCCCTGTGAAACATACACACAGTTTTAAAGACAATTCTTATTCATTTGATAGTGTGAATTTACTGAACACGCAAGTTCCCACCTGTTATGAACATCAATCATCCTCTTTGCGTAGGCATAGCCGAAGTTCGACTCATGAGGTGGACCGTTATGGATCTTGTGCAAAGAGGTAAAGGAAAGTTAGTCACCATTTAAAAATGTATTGATATAATATGCCAGTTCCCAGCACACACATTACCATTGTCTCATCGATAGGATAGGTGGTCTTATCAGGGAAGATGCAGGTGGATAAGCAGGAAACAACCTTTACTGCGCCAACTGCATGTGCTGCCTGCAGCACGTTGTCATTGATGTAGATATTGTTTCTCTAGAGGAGAGAGACACATAAAGATTACATTCTATGACCCAACAAAGTCTACTTTCAACACACACACACAAACATTCAAACATCTGGGATCATTTTTTTTTGTAGTAACTGCAACTTTCTCATACCCAAAAGTCCAGGTTGTGCTTCATGTTCTTGAAAAGCCCCCCAACCATAGCAGCCAGGTGAATGACGTGGGTTGGCCGATGTTTTTCAAACACCGCCCGCGTCTCCTCCATGTTCCTGCAGAGAGGCCACAGCAACACAGAATGAGGACTGTTAGAAACCAAACATCAAATATATAAAACCACGTGTTTGAATATCAGTCATGGGTACCAGAAATCTCACATGAGGTTGGCATCTTTGGAGGAGAGGAATATCCATTGCTCCCCCTCCTTGGCTGCCCCCTCCACTTTGACCACATGCTGTATGGCCCTGCCCACCAAGCCGGACCCTCCTGTCACCAGCACCCTGACTGGAGCAGCGTGATCGCCCTGACTGCACATCTGTAATATGACACACAGGAGCAGATCATGTGACCTACAGGTGGGTGTGTGCTGCAGCTCTGCTCAGCTGTTTGCAGGGGTGAGGGGCTCAGGTAAATGCCACGTCATTCAGCAGCTCAGTGGATGTATGCTTCTACCACAAAACCCCAATAAACCACCAGAGGAGACTCAAAACCAAACTCTAATAACTAACACTGTCTAACTTACTGTAGCTTACCTCTATTATCGGGGTAACGTACAACGACGGTATCCCTTGGGGCCAACCTTTGCTGTTACCTGCTTCTCATTAGAGGAGACCAGTCTGTGCAGAGAAGAGTTGAGACTTTAAAAAACCAGCAAAACCAGTTAACGTTAATAGCCAAAGTTGATGCTAGGTAGTCAGCTAGCAGGTAACCACTGTCACATTCATCTCTTTTTCTGCGAGTGTTTTGTTAATATAGCTAAATAAACTGAGGCTGAACTATATCGCAGGTAACTTCAATACAACCAGTGTTTCCTTTTCCTACAACTGTCGCGATAGCACAGCAGACCAACGCTAACTCGGAGATAAACAAATGTTTGTGTTTGTTTCTCACCGGCGAGCTGTAAGGCGCAGACAGGAAGAAGGGGGAAAAGTCGGCTTCCGGTCACAACCTTCAAAATAAAAGTTTTATTGTCGAACAGCTGGGTTGTTTTTATACCTCAAATAGGCCTCCTGAAGTGTTTTAATTATGATGAAAGTGGAGAGACATAACACATGCATCTGATTTTAAAGTTTGATTTATTAAGTATTTGTCTCACAGTGTTTGTATATGTTTTTGAGCTTTTACTTTTAAATGTAATATACAGCAAGAATCTTTTTAATGCAGTTTTGTTTTGTATCTGCTCATACTAACAGCCTTTCACTGCACAAAACGTTCATTTCTGTTTGGTAAATATCATATTAATGTATCCAGAACATCAGGCTATGCATGTTCCCAAGTTCAGAGCTGTTTTCAATGGCTTTATAAGTTTTTATGTATCCTAATAGTGAATCTCTGTAACAGAAAAGCACAAAAGGCAGCACATTTAATGCATCGTCTTTAACGTTTTAATTTGTGTTTCATTATTATAATTTGAAGCATTCACCAAAACAAAATATTATTTACAATCCATAAAAAGATTTGTGAAAAGTTTAAAATATTACAAAGCTTGAAATATACAAATTTCTGCAGCAGTGAATGGACCTTTGTAAGAAACTGTCCCGGTTCCTCTGGATAATCCACAGACTTCATTGGAACTACTGTCTAATGAAGAAACAATTCTTTTAACAGCAGAGTCACTTTAAAAGCCCAAAGTCTCTCGCTTTAGTATTATCCAGGATTATAACCAATCAATTCAAGCAAAGAAACCTCACACTCATTCATTAATTGTTTGTAAAAGAAGATAAAGATATAGTCCTTTAATTAGCAAAACAGTAAATCACAGTAAATAAAGCCTTAATTTCAAGGATTTGGTGTTTTTTTTTAAAAATATTTTTATTTGAATGGCCCAACATCTTCTTCAACATCTGCTTCTGTCTACTGAGGAGACGAGAACCTGCCGAGGAAGAGGATGGATTTGGTCTTATTGTGCCTGATGAAGAAGAGGAAGGGGTGGTCCGCAGTGAAGTGTTCCTCCCTGAACATACAGAATGATACCATGCCCGCTGTGGCTGCAGCCGCCTCCGTCCCCTCCTCGTTCACCTCTACAAAGGCCTTGTGGGCCACTGTAGACAGGAAGAGTCCTCCTTCACCGTTCATACCGGACAAATCCGCCTGCGCCGCACAGAACACATCTGCCATGCCCAGTTTGGCCAGAGGCTCGCTGAGCTCGTAGTCTTCCTCCAGCTTGAACTTGGGCAGGTGAACGTGGACATCTACAGATTCCATGAGTTCCCTGTTGGTCCATTCGTCCAGGTTCACACGTGTCAGCTGCTTCTCCAGCTGGAACAAAACACACACGTTGTATTGCAGCAAGAGTTGATGTAATGAATTACAGTTACCTTTTTCTATATCCCGATTAAGTAACTTGTAATCTGTTACTCCCCATGCCTGCATATAATCATGGATTGAGCTGGACTGATGCTTTTAATGTACATATGTTTCTAACCTTTATTTAATCAGGAGGTCCCTTTGAGTAGAGAAAAGCAAACGGAGCCATTTTTATGTTTTTTGGTTTGTTCTCCACAGGGCCCCTTTCATAAAAGAACCAAAGTGAACCATATAACTGCCTTTTGTTTGGTGGTACTGTAGGTTTGTAGGTTTTGTACCTGGAGCAGCGGGTCAGGGCCATTGTTGGACTCCTCGGGCAGCAGGATGAACATGCTGAGCTCATTATCCACGTATGGCAGCTCCAGGATCTGCAGGCTGAGCTCAGGGACGTAGTTGAAGTTCAGCTTCTTCATCTGGTACATCATCTGGACCATTTGTTTTCCATTCTGACGTGCAAGCAACACAAACAAATCAAAGTGATCTGGTCATGAAAGTCTGTTTTTAGTTTCCAGATCTGCATATCTATACATGTGTAAATCTAGATGTTTTTTTACCTTTGCGCTTTTAAAGGGCATCTCTTTGGTGTTTGCCGCATCAAAGCGGTGCAGCCAGTTCCCCTTAAAGTAGATGGCATTAACCAGAGCCAATCTTGTCATAGTATTGACTGTTCCTGGCTTCAGAAGATCTTTAATCTTATCTGAAAGGAAACACACAGACAAAGCAACCGTTGTACACTGATTCAAAGAGGATGCTATCGAATGATTGCTTTACAAGTTGTCCAATCACTTTCTGTCTGCTGCTCGACCCAGCTGTTGATCTCCTCCCTGCAGGCCTCTGGAGCCCCGATGAAATCAACTGCCTTCAGGTCTGCCTGGTAGTGCTTCTGTGTGGCTTCGAGGAATTGCTGCAGAGTCATATATAGTTAATGATTCAATCTTAATGTCTGTCTTCTAGGGATGTAATGATACACTCAGCTCATGATTTGATACAATTCACAATACTGGGTTCACAATCTGTTTTTCTTATTAGTTTTTTTAACAAAATTATATTGAAAACAAAACATTTTTAAATAATATTTATTTTATTTACTATAATAAATTGAAACTGCAAAAAAAAAATTGTATTTCCTTTTTTATAAACATGAAACTTCTTTTCGCCTTGATATCACAATTTATTTTTCATCTCACCAATGAATCTTTGTATCACAGTTTAACTCAATATAGCTTTACATTCCTCGTGTCTTCTGTGATAAGTGTAAACTGAACACTCACCGGGAGGAAGTTGAAAGTATTTTCTCCATAAAGACGGTTGGCTAGTTTCAGGATGTAAGATGCTGATGGTGAGTTGATGTCAGCGTTCAGCGTCGCAAAGTCTGCATGGACGCCTTCACCGGAGCTGAACGACAGTGCCTGTGTGACAGTTTGGAACAGCAGACTTTATTCTGGGTTCAAAAGATTGTGTTACAGTAGTAACTGCAACACAGAAAGAACATTACATTGTTCTTGAGCCATGCTACTGTGACAGCTTCTGGTACTTGTGTTAGAAATGTAAAGATCTGGTTATTGGACAGTGGCAACATATTTAAAACTAACCTTTACTGTTAATTGTCTGCAAACTGTTAAACTTGCAGGTTATATGATATTATATGATGTGTAATATTGTCAAGCTTCTATGCTGTACATTTCCCTCGTTGCTTTACTGTACGTGAGGTTTATATTTGCCTGATTTGTTATTCTCTATTTGCCTTTTAGTTGCCTGTAATTGTAATGTTCAGTTGTGTCTCTTGTTTTATTGTTGTTAATTTATGTGCATGCTCCACATATTAGAAAGGTTGGGCTGCAACAATTCAAACTAACTAAATCAGTTAGTTGTCAACTACTAAATTAATTAATTAAACTATTTTGATTAATCGATAAATCTCTCCAAATTCCCTGATTGCAGCTTCTCAAGTATTTGAGACAAAACAAGACATTTGAGGACGTTTTTTGTTCTTCCAACTTTGTGTCAGCAGTTTTGGGAAGGCTCTTCCCTATTTGTGCCCCCATGCACAAACCCCATCCAACACCTTTGTCATGAGCTGGAACGCCGACTGTGAGCCAGGCCTTCATCAGCGTTGGACCTCAGTAATGCTCCTGTGGCTGAACAGGACCAAATCCCTGCAGCCGGGTTTCAAAATCAGGTGGAAAGCCTTCCCAGGAGAGTGGAGGCTGTCACAACAGCAGATTAATGCCCATGGTTTTAGAATGACACATTCAAACAATCACATATGGGTGTGATATTCCTATGTCCTCATACTTTTAAACACATAGTGCAATTCTTGTATATTTCTGAATGCTATTGTGCATTCATTCAACCTGCAACACAATCTGGCACAACAAACACAGAAGTCATAAATCAAAATAAAATAAAGAAGAACAAAGCCCTGAAGATTTACTGCACCCTTTCAAAAGCAAACAGGTTTCATGAACTGAAACTGCCAACATTCTGCTTTTAAGCAAACAGTACATGACTTGTTTCAAAAGGCATTTATTGGGGTCAAAGTACAGAGACTAGACTTCTCTTGCCTGAAGAAGACACACCTTTGGTTTGAGCCTAGATACACACCTTGGCCAACCGGCTGAACTTCAGAACTCACAAAATTCTTTATGGAAATCAACCAGGATTTCATAATGCATGTTACTTTTTTATAACCGTACTACAAAGTTACCCAGAGATGTCAGGTGATGGAGGAGGTGCGTGTAACAGAGAGACAGAGTGCTGACCTGTGCCATCTGAGCAGCAGTGTTTCCTTTAGCGCCCAGGTAAACCATAGCCAGGGCTGAGCTGATGCTCAGCGGGGACACAAAGATGTTCTCACTGGGTTTAGCTTGACTCAGAGTGCGGAGCAGATCCAAGGCAAAACATGTGTTTGAGTCGCTGATGGCGGCCATGACTGATGACGTGTAGTTGTCCTGTAATGAACAAATGCCATTTAAAAACGGTAGAGAATTTTATATTGCAACAGACAGATTTTAACATAAATCTAAATTGTATTTTATAGCTGTTTATAACTGTAGCTTGAATACATTTTGCTCCTAATATACACTAATAACACTATGAGAGAAAACGTCTACATTTCAAACCTTAAAACAGTTAAAAATCCCAGTAAGAAGAAATGTGGATAAGTGAATGTAAACCTATTTACCTTGGTTGTATGTCATTTCCTTTGCTCTCTCTCCCTCCCTCACCGTTTTCTGTCTTTATCAACTTTGTATCAAACGCCTAAAATAATCTTTACAAAGTTTTGCTGCAGTAATGTGTGTTTTACTTTTCTTTCTTTCCCTCCTGTACAGTATGTTTATATGTAAATATAGAGAAACACACAGGAAGAATATGCTCTTGGAAGACAAATTATCCAACAAACCAAACTAATCACCACTTCCACCAATACACATAAACATGAAGACATTAATAAACATTCACAATGAGAATATTTTACCCCTTACATAATTTTAATGATCTATTTTGCATAATGCAGCCCATTAACACTGTTCACCTGGACACTGTGCTGCATAAACTTCTTATTTAATCCTATTCATATTTAGATGGTGTATGCAAAGATCATTAAGGTGTTTTTTCCAACCTTTCTCGCCTTTAAACTGCTGATTTAAATCTTTTCAACGCATTTATAAACAGCTGGTATCACAGCGTTGGTGCGTGTGAAACTGCGTTCACTGCCCGGAAATCAACCCGCACACGTCGTTTTATTAAACTGCTGTGAAACCCGAACAGTTCAGAAGTGTCCGGATAAAGTTACATGACACAATGACACAATGCGGTGCTGTGCGGGTTCTGTGCGGGTTCTATGCGGATGCACCGCAGGCCCGTCGGCGACATTGTTACATTACCTGATGTTCCAGCACAGACAGAAGCACGCTCTGCTCGCACACACTCAACGTGAGGAAGAGTGGAAGCAAAACAGAAAGACAGACCCGAATCCCCAAAATCCGCCCGAAAAAGGAGAAACGGACAATTCCCGGGACGGTGTTTGCGGTTAAATGCAGAAGTCCACTGCTGCTCATTTATATGGAACACAAAGTGCGTCTGTGGGTGGGACGCGTGAATGGGCGATAAGTCAGTGAACAATAGCTGCACACTAATAGACCCATACAGCCGTACAACCGTGTGCACCACCTATAGTACAATGTCTGCGTGGTAGTCTGGAACTTTTAATATGGAACTTATTAGACTTTATGTTTTTTCTGCACAGCAGCACACTGCGGTCAGTCGAGCCAGCAGCAAAACCATACTCCATTATCAGGAAGTGGCTTCTTGAATCGTAAAACTGAGACAAGTCATTTCAACGTGGTCTTCAGGCTACCATTACTTCAAACATCTTAATCTTAATCTTCGTTCCTGTAGTCTGTGTACAGAGATTGATATTATAGCCTTCACGTTTTCCTTTTATTACACAGATGTAACCAATAACTAAGTCGGATGTGTCATTTCTCACAAAAATCCACATGCTGTGTAAGAACTGATCCCTCTGCAGAGGAAAAATAAAACTGTTTGAGACCATAACTGCTCTTCTTTATTAAATATCTATCCTTAAAAGGTACAGTAAGAACTTGAATTTAGCTACAACAAGAACACAAATTTACAATCGCTTCAGAAATGTTTCTGATTGGAGGGCTTTTCTCATTTTTATTTCAAAGTCCTGAGCCTCTTGTTTGAAATATATGGTATATATATATATAAATACATTAACAGATACTATTTCTATGGCAGTCTTTGTGTATTATTTTGCGTTCGAAGAACTTCAAAGAAGCAATAGATAGAACTTAGATAGATTTTTTTTTTTTTTTTTAGAACCCCACCCATCTCAAACATTTCCGTCTAGACTCAGAACAAACTGTTCTGTAAACAATTCAAACATTTTCACCTTTTAATTTTTGTATTTAACTGTCCTATTATATTTTCTTTAACTCTCTGCTGAAATTATTGTCTAAGACTGCAGACCAAAGGGACCTGAATCAGTTTTTTCTTTTGCTCATATTTCAATTCTGATGTATTATTATAGATTTAGCTCCCCAGTAAAGTAGATCAAATGTATTTCAGAGAAAACATGGACATAATGTGGAATGTGAGGTTTAGTTTGGTGTCTTCAGGATACATTTTCATGTCTGCCTTACTATAAATACACTGGGTACTTTCTCAGAATACTGACTCTAGTGAAAGTGAATCCGCAGGCATTATTTTTTTTTAGTATTGTTAATGGAAAACTGTAAGAGATGAACAAATATACCCTAATATACAAATTCAAAACAGGCAAAGTCAGGATTCAGTTTTTGTGTCATTACTTTAATAATATTTTTCTGGTGTTGCAGATTTTTCATTTAACCCTTGACTCACTAGGCTTGATGGTTTGTATATAGCAGGTGTTTCTTTTCACATTGGCTCAAGGTAGAAATATATCCATTGTGCAAAATTAGTGGATACAAGTTTTTTTTTAATTCATAAAGAGCACATGAGCTTGTAGGGTAAGTGTAACTGGCCTCAGACAGAACAGAGGTTGCTCTGTTGAAACGAGTAGAAAGGTGTGTCTGTGTGATTTACTGTCTGAAGATTGTCTCCACCCTTCACAGAGGCTTACAGTAGAGCCATGGCAACATCTGACACAAGATAAACATTTCTGATTCATAGCAACCTTAGAACTCCAGACCTCTCTGTTACATAACCACCTTCCTATAGACAGTCACACTATAAGCCCTCATTCCCCATGTTCTTCCTTACACCTGAGCGTTAGACATTTATGTGCCAGTGTGATACAAAGCAATACTCTTCCACATTTTTTAGTTTCAGAGATAAATGACACTCAAGTTAAAAAACAGTTTCCTAATTAAGATCAAAATATCAAATAATAAGTAGCTTAAATAAGCATAACAATCTGACCAAGGATTTGAAACGTTCAATACTTTATACTTTTTGGTTCTCAATGCTACAAACAATCATCCAACCAGCTCTGCTTGACTCTGTCTTCAGCACACTATCCTCTAATAAAAAGTGAACATTAAAAAAGTAAAAAAAAAATAAAAATTAAAAAGGAAAAAAATAAGTAGAGTTTAACACAGTTTTTTGGGGCCTCCACTAAAATCCTCCCCAGCTTGTCCTCTCTTTAACACCCTCTGAGTGAGTGTGGAACGCATGCCAGCCACTGTCCCTCCCTCTCGGAGGTGTTCTGTTCCTGCCTTTGACACTGACATTCCCATTAGCATCTTTTTGTCCTGTCAACATGGTCCTTCATCACAAGGTCCCCTGATCTGTTCACATTTTTTGGGGCTCCTTGGTGGCTGCGCAGGTCCAGAATCAGCATGAACATCTGTCTTCCACTAGAGGGAGCTATAGGGATTTTTTGTCATAGGCAAGATGTCTTCGTTTTGAGTTGTCTGCTCTTCGGTGCATCTGAATGTTATAGTTAATCATTTAATTTAAAAATATAAAGTAAATGGACTGTGCTTGTACAGCTCTTTTCAAGTCATCTGACCACTCTTTTACCCTACATGTCACATTTACCACCATCCACAGAAAGTCATTTATCCCCATTCATACACCAGTCCACAGCATCAGGAGCCATTTGGGGTTCAGTATCTTGCTCAAGGCTGCTTCAACGTGCAGCAGGAGGAGCCGGGGATCAAAGCACCGACCTTCTGATCAGTGGTCAACCCGCTCTATCTCCTGAGCCACAGCCGCCCCTCATTCAAGCTTTCTGAATGATGTGTCTGTGTGTGTGTTTGGTCCTCAGGGTCTTCTGTATTTGGAGTTTGAGGGAAGATATAAAAATGACAGCTGAATGACTTTTTAATTAAAAATAAATGTACACAAAAACTTTATTTTCTACTCAAAATGAACACCATTGCAGTTGCAGTCAACATGGTTGTCATCATTAATTGTTTTGTATATTAGTTACCAATCGTGTGTTGTTCTTTACCAGCTTTTATATTTTTTTTCTCAGGTTCTGCAATGGTGGTCTATTTAAATTTATGTAAATTATATAATTTGCCCCTAATGTTCACATCAGCCTTACATCGTCATCTTACCGCTTGTTGTAATTTGTTAGCATGACATTAAGACTGTCTGTGGTAAACAGTTTAACACAGTTTTTTGGGGCCTCCACTAAAATCCTCCCCAGCCTGTCCTCTCTTTAACACCCACTGAGTGAGTGGGAACTCACATGCCAGCCTCTGTCCCTCCCTCTCGGAGGTGTTCTGTTCCTGCCTTTGACGTTGGCATTTCCATTAGCAGCAGCATCTTTTTGTCCTGTCAACATGGTCCGTCATCACAAGGCCCCAATCTGTTCACATCCTCATCAGCCATGTCATTCACGAGGGGAAACTGAACATGGTGACGGGGATAGCCTTGAGGCAGCTGAAGACAATGTCAGACCTCACGTGAAAAAGTGCATGTGCAGCTAATGCAGCAGGAGCAGGAATACTGTTCAGGCATCTCAATTATATAGTTACTAGAGTTCAATTATGTTTGTTGTGCAACCGTGGGGTCGGTCTATCACTGATATACTATGATACTGGTCATTTTTCAAGCTAGAATTGATGAAATAGATTTTTTAAAATGGCATGTTTTTCATGACTGCACCAGTGCATCAAAAGTAATAATCTATACTGTATATACCTTGCCTCATTTTATATACATTTCTCTATAATTCAGCTTTCAGCTATAATTATTGTTTTCTTCTGAAACTTCTGGATATCTGTTAGAAGTTTAATTCAAGCATTCAGAGTTAGAGAAGTATAATTTATGCTCCATTTGCACTTTAAGTTCCTGCATTGATTTGCCAGAAGTGCAAATTTGAGCTTCACTCTCAAGTTCTCTTTTGGCTTTTATGTAAAGGACATGCAATCCTATACTTTCAATGATGTGACTCGATAGTCTCGCTGACAGTTAAACTCGTATATCGTTAGTACTATCACTCCCCATTTTCCAGTGCAGGCTTGATAATTAATATTTTTTGAATAACAATGCATCAAATGAACATGTGACATGTAGCGTAAAAGAGGTAGCTTGAAGGTGATGAACCTACAGAGAATGATCACGTGAATCTGCAGCCCCCCTCAGCTTTACAGATCTTTATACTGAGTTTCAGCCCATTAAGCTGTCCATTAACAACCACAAAATGATTTGTTGCGGTGTAAAGTTAGATTGTAAATTTGTGCCCATTATTGAGAGATTTTTGGAGAGAACTTTAGAAGACATTATACGACTGATTTTACAAGCCATGGTAGTACACCCCTCATAACTAGTAAATTGACTTTGACGTGTAAAACCAGTGGGGTGCCTCTTTTAATGGATATTCAACATTTTGTGTGTTTCTCAACTAACCATAATTAACGATTACTGCATCTGAAAGCGTCTTCTGTATTAAAATACATTCGTTTGAGAGTGATAACGGGTTCTTGTATCTTCAACTTACAGGCCGCGCCTTTAACTGACCTAGAATTCAATGGTGGCACACTTCTCTGTTCAATATGTTACACCTGACAGGAAGAGAGGGAGCTTGTTGGCAGTGTATCTGGCCTTTCATAAATCTCATCATTGTTATTCTGACTTATTTATGAGTGTGAGATGAAAGCGTACCAGCTTGCCAACATCAGCAGGGGACCGAGATGGAGGGGGCGAGGGATGTGTGTGTCTAAGTGGGTATTCCACATTGTTTAACTTACTTTACCTTTGTCCTTCAGCAGACACATGAAGGGCGCTCTAATGCCGCAGGCCCACAGTTAAAGAGTTGTAAACTCTCAGGGACCATGGCTTACAATTACAAAACAAATAAAGGCCTGTATCCCCTAAAGCCCGATCGCTGGGCTGCGGCTTCAGCAACACAGGAGGCCTCAGCTGAGAAAACACAAGTCTGAATAAGGTGGTGAACAAAACGCAATCGAGAGAAAACAGATGCGACTTGATGAGTTGTTTGTTCCACAACAACGTTGGTTGTCAGCGTAAAGCCAAGGTCTAACAGCTTACCTGTACTGAACACGATTTTATGGGACATCAAATATAACTTGATCCCAACCCTGAGCTGTCCTCAGTAGCCTGAGTTCTTGGACGAAGCCAGAGGTTACAGAGTCCGACTGGTGACTTTGTCTGTCCT